TATTACCGGCTGCGACACTACGTCTGCATTCTGTGGGAAAGGCAAACGGTCGGCCTGGCAGGCTTGGGTACTTYGTAACGACAGTGTGACACCCACTTTGGATTTCCTTGCTACGCATCCATTTCAGCAGCTGACCTCAGATTCAACCCACTTCCAGGAGCTTGAAAGAATGACTATCATCATGTACGATAAGTCAAGCCCCTTGAGCTCCATCAACGATGTGAGAATGGATCAACAATGGACACAACAGAGCAATTGGCAATATTCCTCCTACTCAGGTAAGACAATTTAGGCAAAATCAAAGAAATAGAAACTAGTTTTAAAATAATATAACTTAGAAATATAACCGATTTAATGCCAAGTTTTGTGTCTCTAGAATGCACTACTGCAGCATTTTAAGAGAGCTATCCTCCAGGCAGGTATCTGGACATCGAGTTACATAAGCAACCAGGATATTCCTTCTCCTGATCAATTTGGCTGGCACAARATTGACGACGTGTGGACGCCTGTTTGGATGACCATTCCAGAGGTGTCTAAGGCTTGCCAGGAATTACTCAAGTGTGCATGCAAGCAGCCGTGTACCAGATGTAAATGTGTGAAGGCTGGCCTAGATTGCACTCCTCTTTGCAAGTGTCAATGCAATGYGAGTAATAGAATTTTGGCGTTTGTATAAGGARTATCTATTTGCGATTCCCTTGAATCGAAGATACAYGTCATACAAGGAAGTATTTAATTGCATAAACTATAGGTATGRAAGTTTAAAAGTATCRAAAATGGAGAAATATGTAAAAATCGCCATACGTTTAGAAGAAAATTGGTATTTTTTGTCTATTATCTTGGATGACCGAGTTGAGGACTGGGTACGAGCTTGRCAAGTATTTATTTAAAAACTCGCTATTATTTCGATGTTTGAAATATATTTATTAACGGAAATGATAAAAGCAAACAGTTCTAGCTATTTTGAATCACAAATGTGAATTTTAAAAAGAACATCGGCCAAAAAAACCAAAATTATAAAATATTGACCACAGGGAGCCCATCACTTACATTTTTCATAAAATTAAAGTCCAAATTAATATGGGATCCTGAAGAGATTGAAATGGGCACCGGTCCTAATATTGATTACCATACTCTATTCTACATTCATGCAAATTTTGGTGCTTTTGTCCGGCTGTGTATAGATCTGACCACTTAGCCACCTGACTATATAAGGTTTTTTCCATTTCATTGATTATTCAAATTTCCAGTATAAATTCACTAGAACTACGTTTTTGTAGTCAGTCCAAGTCAAGTTTGCACCAGTTTGTTTTGTAAGTATTTTTCTCGTTCTTTTCGCCGGTTCTTGAGTTCTTTATTTACTTTAGTTATTCTCTATATTTAACATGTTTATTTGTTTTAGAAACCGTACTTAAGGTATTAAAACTCCTGGTTACAACCCAATAGGTAATAAGTTTATGGTTGCGCCCACAGTTATGTTGTGAGGTCTGCTGATATTTTGCAACAGTTAAACTTGGACAAATTGCACGAAAGACGAGAGGAAAGACTGTGGTTATTCATGTTTGACGTTCTCCATGAAAATTGCCCATCATATTTAAGCATATTATTTAATATGAGATCCTCGGATTCGAGCACCTGTTAATCTAAATTAAGAGGGAGCGATCAAATTGAAGTACGATACATCCCAAAAACATACTTTTTCAGGAGTAACTCCTATTACAGAAGGCTAAATTAAATCTGCTCCAACAAAGAATGAATTTAAAAAACGTCTGTTGAGATGGTGTGCTGCAAGTGCTCAGTAGAATTTTTCTCTTTGTTATTTAAATCATTTCTGTTTCTAAAAATTTTTCAACTTAGTTTTTAGGACTATATTCTTATATTTTACTGATCATATTCATAACGACTTCCATGTAAAGAAGTTTTATACTTATGGAATTATCGTTTTCAAGTAAAGGTGTATCTATCTATCTATCTGTCTGTCTGTTTGCTTTTTAGAAACTCCAAAGAAGAATTGAAACCCTTAGTTCTACAAAGTGCTCTTTAATCTTAAGTTACCCAAGCTCTGATGAAAGTGATCTTTCAGAAGATGAAAATGGTGACCTCAAGCTCAAAGGCTACTTGGTAAATAAATTAACTTGGGAAAGATTTGCTTTGAGAAAAATAAAGCAGGAACTAGAGAGCCTACATTTAAGAGGTTTAATGTGCACCTACACTCTATTTTGTTACATTCTTTACTGTTTGTACTGAACATTTTAAAATGTTTTGTGGTATTTTGGTCACATTTGAGAAAAACATTTGAATGCGAAAAATTGTTTTAAAAATACGAAATGTGTGGTCCATTACCGCAGAATCAAAGCGGGTGTCTGGGTCCGAGTGTGACGTCACCGCAGGCCATGACTTGATGCATGGTGCCTTAAAGTTAGTAAACAAATCGAGTACTTTTGAAATAGGGAAGAGCTTGTTGAAGACCAATTCGTGAAGATGAACTCTGATATAGAATCTGTGATAATCCGTAGTTGTGTTAGCCTGTGGTGAGGTCACACGTTGCTCGACCCAGTCCCCTCTGTAATTACGGCCATGATCCACTTACTTCGGCAAAAATKGTCTATTTTCCAATCTTTGACAGAGCACCAAAATCTCCCGTTTTGATGGATCTAAAATTTTATTTCAAAGAGCTGCTTTTTGAGACTTAAAGTCTTAATCCAGATCAGAAAAAAATAGGGTGTAGATGCACTTTAAACCCTCGTGCGAGAAGTTCTTTTCTTCCAAGAAGAAATCAGAATGAACTCTCTAATAGGGATTATCCGAACATTGTCATCAACTGGGCATTTTGTAGACTTGCTGATGACCAGTCAAACTATACCAATGCCACTCCACTGCTTAGCTCCAAGCCAAAATATCGTCTTTCCGAATGTATTTAAAATATTGTATTAGGCCCGTGTCGCACTTGTCGCCAAAACAAAAACTTGATCAGCAAATTTTCTCCGAAGATTTGGTCTCTACACCGGAAATGACATTTTTTTGATTTTTTTTTCTTTACGTGTTTGTGGTCGCACTGATGTTTGCAAACTTGGCAATAATAATGTTACAGATTATTAAAGCCAGATGCCAAGCAATTAACTCTTTATTTCGGGCGATTTTTTCATAAACAAACTCCCAATAATGCGCCCAGTCGACGAGCTCGCGTTAACTATAAGCCTTTTCTACCTTTTTTATTTTGAATTTCAACTTCAACAAGCAATTTGTTTTGTCTCATTATRTGTGAAGGAGAAGACTGGTTCGTCGAAGATTACACCGCCGCAGTCCATATGCCTGGAGAGCTCCTCTCATGGCTTGCAATGCACTCTAACGATGCAAATATCCCTAAAGATTATTTTCGTACGACTAAAGTACGACTTAACAAAGATTCATTTTTTACATTCTATTGAATTCCGCTCTAGTTGATCAGATATCAGGGTTCTGTTTTTCTGCAAGATGACAAGCGACTATAGTTCCCGCTGTGATTTCTTTTGTTTGGAGAAATTTTGACCGAAAAGTCCAGTTTCTACCCTGTTCGACAGCGCTTTTGATATTTTGGTCAGTTGGCAAAGTTTTGATGGACGGTCTAATTTACGGTCGCACTAAAAATGGACTCTTGAATGACAGGTTTTGTCGGATTAAGACACCTTATTGACTTGCTGTAAAGTGATTGCAATGAACCTGTCAAAAGCCTATCACTTAGTAATTATTTATCCGAACATGCTTAGAATAGGGAGACTTGCTAATTTTAGTACATGAGATATTTATCACTTAGTTAAAATGATTTTTCTTTCTTTAGCTAATTCTCATTCGGCATAGAKTTTTAGGTTTATTGCAATCCCTGCATTGGAAAATGATTATGTTATTGTTCTAGTCACAGGGCGAAATAACAGCATAAATCACCTTTAATCAGACAGTGTAAAGGAATAAAGGTGTCTTTGAGCTTCTTTGCCCTACAGAGTAAAGAGAAGTACACTTAAATGTGCTTTAATAGGGATTAAACGTATGGTTGCATAAAGGCAATTAAAGATGCTTATTAAAGAGGTAATCTTTACTTCGCTTTTCAAGATAAGTGAAGTCAATAAAGCCGTAACTGTATTTTCTTTGTGATGAATCTAGAATTCACCAGCTTAGTGGTAGAAATTTTTAGAACATTTTGTGTGTAATTAAGAGGTTGAGCTGAATATTTCCAGAACTTTCTAGAGTTAAGAAAAGTGTTGAGTCAGGAATAGTTGCATTCAGTTATAGAGAATTCTAGAATGATGTCATACAATATCACTAGGCACGAGTAATCGTTATATTTAGAACACTGAGCATATATAAAGGCAATGGTTTCAAAGTGAATCGGTCAGAAGTTGTAAGAGCAAGAATTACTGAAGAACAAAGAAGATTAAAGGAGTTTTAGTCAAGCTTACTGTCTGGTTAATTCGATTTAAGTGTCAATTCGTAACATATTTGGTGGCAGCAGTCAAGGAGACAATTTCGTCCAATATATTCCAAAGAAGAATTCACAAGTAGACAAGACCCACAGAGATTATGCCAGAGGAGAAATCGAAGACCAGGTCAGGTAAAGAATTAAAGGGAGAAGATGGCAAGGAAGATTTAGATTTAGGAAGATTTAGATTTAGGAATTTACGCAATGGAAAAAGACAGCGAAAATGATTCTAAAGAAAAGAAAACGAAACCTGAAGAAGAATACAGTACATATGAAATGATGGATTTTATGAAGTTCATGCAGCTTATTTATCAAGAAAGAAAAGAAGAGAAAGAACAATATGAAAGAGACATAAGAGAATAAAGGGAAAGATATCTAAGAGACAGAACTAGAAAGGCAGAGACAAGAAAGAGAAAGATTGGAAGAACACCGAGAAGAGCAACAAAGAATAGAAGAACGCCGAGAAAAGCAACGGAGACTAGAAGATAAGCGCCGAGAAGAGCAATGGAGACTGGAAGAACGCCGGACAGCAAGAGCGAGGATGGAGGAAATGGAACAACAGAGAAGAGAGGAATTACGACGACTTGAAAATCTAATGAAGTTAAAAGAAGTAAACATGACAAAGTTGAACCCAACCGACGATATCGAAAACTACCTCACTACATTTGAGCGTACAGGCAAGACTTTTGAGTGGCCTAAAGAGAAATGGGTAGTAAAGCTAGTACCCTACTTGACAGGTAAAGCCCAAGCTGCATATGCTGCAATGTCAACTGCCGAAAGTAATTACGAGAAAGTTAAAGAGGATATACTGAAACAATACGATATTACAGAAGAGACATACAGACAAAGATTCGGGTCAACAAAGAAACTGAGAGAAGAAAGTTACAAAGAAATGTATGTTAGACTGAAGGACTTGTTCAAAAAATGGACCAAACCAGAAGGAAAGACAGTAGAAGAGATAACAGAGACAATGATCATGGAACAATTGGTAGACACCATGCCCCAGGAGTACAGATATGGGTTCGAGCACATCGGCCAAAGGGTGGTATTGGAGCAATTCTAATGTTTTCGAAGCCAAGTGGCAAGGCCCATTCAAGGTGTTGAGAAAAGTGGGTCCAGTAGACTAAGAGATTGAAACAAACCATAAAAGACGCAAGCTGAAAGTATACCATGTTAATCTATTGAAACAGTTTAAAAGAAGAAACATGGATGGCTTTATTGGAATAAACAAGGTGACTGGCGACAAAGGAGAGGATACTGACGTATCTTGGACCAACGAGGGCTCTGGTCTCGACCTCAAAATGAATGATGACCTCAGTGATGAACAAAAAGGAGAGCTGACTGCACTACTAAACAACTTCAAAACAGTCCCAAGCAACAAACCAGATAAAACAACAGTGATAGAGCATGGTATTGAAATGAAAGAAGATGTGACACCTGTTCGTCAGAGACCATACCCTATACCACAAGCCAAGATTGAAAAGGTGAAAGAGGAAGTACAGACGATGTTAGACGTAGATGTAATAGAAGAGTCAAATAGCCCATGGTCATCCCCATACGTAATTGTACCCAAACACGACATCATTTGGGATGCATTTGTGGAAAAATAATTTAAAAAAGAGGCAAATGCAAGTTTGGACCATCAGCAAAGTCTTTAAAAGTCTATCTCCTTACTCTTGAAAAGTTCCTTAAATATGCTCTTCAACAACGCATGATAAAACCAAAGAAAAAGCACGACGTGGAGCAGCTTATAAAGAAATTCCCAAGCTGGAGACATTCATTGAGAAGAGAGAGAAGAGACACAAGAAAACAAGAAGAACAACACTTTGACAAAGACGTAGATAAAATGGCCTCGAAAGAAGACTGCCATCCGGATAAAGGAATTTTTTAAGTCATACAACAGGAAACACGAGTGCACATTACCAGAAATATTGCTTGCAAGAGATTATCTTATTGTGARAATGTTCATCGAAACTATGTGTAGGTCTGGTGTGTTGGCTCATCTCATGATAGAAGAAGTGTAGAAGGCGAAGGAGCACGTCGTAGACGGGAAGAAGCAGTACTCCATAACGATACTATTTCACAAGACGCTTGTCGATAAAGGATCATCTTATCCAAGCCTATCAAATGAAATGTACGAGCTCTTAAAGAACTACATCATAGAATGCCGACCTCTACTTGTGACAGACACCGAAAAGCCAAACAACGCCAGGCCAGTGTTTGTTAGCAGTAATGGAGAGTCATTTGACTCGTCTTCAGTAGGGCGAAGAGCTGTAGAATGTGCCAAGAAGTTGGGAATTCAAAGAAGATTTATTCCCACAGTAATTCGAAAAACATCATCAACAGTAGTGGCAGAAGAAGACCCCAAAACTCAAGAAATTCATGCACAGCTTTTGGAGCATAATCTCTCAACAGCGATACGATTTTACCGTCGTCTCCATAAAGAAAAGATCCAAGGTACAGCTAGTGTAGTGAACCAAGAAAGGTTAGGAATCAGTTCTGCTCTTGSACACGTGAACAACCATAAACTATGCAAAACGAAAATGAAAAGGACACAAATGAAACCGAGGAAATTTCCACCAAAGTTACAACTAAGGAGCAGCCTACGTCACTAGTTTCAGAAGTGGAAGAGATGCCAATAACATTTGTTCCAGACTCACTTGAGCCAATGCGAAAACAAGTCATAGGACGGCCTACCAAATTCGGTGAGAATGCAGACCAAGGAATCAAAACCTTGTTTGTGCAATTTTTTTTTTTTTTTAAATTGGTGTATGCCCAACAATCAAGGAAATCCAAAAAATCGTCAAGAAATCAAAGATTTTGGGAAAGCATACATTGGAAGAAATAAGAAGCAGAATAGCGTATATAATAAAAGACAACCAGCCAGAATTACCACGAGGTACTGTCGATCCCCAGACCCTGGTTCAGGACTGGCTTCAAAAATCAGCAATCGAAACTCATCAGCCGTTTTAGAAAGACGTTCATCAATAAAATGGAGTGGAGAAGACAGTGAACTAATAAGAATTTCATTTGAAGAGGACATGAAACTAGAGTACATGCCAAGGAAATCTAGAATACTAGAAGTTTTTAAAAGTCCATCAGCTACCGAAGAGTTAAAAGAAATCTTCAACAGGGAAGATAAAAGTGCATGGAGGCAAAGGTGCATTGAGAAAGTCAGAACAGAATGGAAAAGACTTCATGAAAAGCTGCCARGTTGGAAGCCATCGCAAACCATGCCATGGAGAGACAACACGAAATCAAATTTTATCTAAAAAATAAAGTTTATTGCAACACTTAAGAACTGAACTATGATAACATTAAAAGTCGGGTTTTTGAGAACTCCGCACCACTGGAAAGAGTTCATGAAAAAGTTGTGATTTGAGAAAGTCCGCACCACTGAAAAGAGATCATGAAAAAATTTGTGTTTTGAGAAAGTCCGCACCACTGGWAAGAGATCATGAAAATAGTTGTTTTTTTGAGAAAGTCCGCACCACTGGAAAGATATCATGAAAAAAGTTTTTTTTTTTTSAAAGTCCGCACCACTGGAAAGAGGTCGTGAAAAAAGGTCAAGCTACGACAAAAGGAGAAAAGACAAAAATAAGAACTGAACTAAAGATATTACTAAAAGTTGCGTTTTTGTTGTTTATTATATAATAAATCTTATTTATTATTCTCATTTTGAAAGTCATAGAGGAACTCTATATGCCATTAACTTTTCACTACTTTATGCATTCGGTGCAAAGAAYGTGTAATATTCTCTACTAGGTATGCTAAAAAGAAAGATCTTTTATTTTCGTGTTAAAACATTTAACAAATAAATTTCGAGTTGCTGTATTATGATTTTGATTATTGCTGTGATATGATTTAGTATTACTGAGCAAGTTGAAAAGAAGATTATAGCACAGTTTAAATCCAAAATGGATAATGGATGAGTTTGAAAAATCACTTAACAATCTTTGGGGATTCTACGACGACCTTAACAAGAAAGTATCTGGAGTTGAAACCCGTTTGGGTCAGAATGATTCCAATTATCAGAGGCTGATGTCAAGTGTTAACAGCTCCTGTATTCAATTAGCCCAACTGAAAAGCATCTTGACGAGATGGAGCAATATACTCGACGAGACTGTCTCGAAATTCGAGGAATCCCTCACAAAGAATCTGAAGACACTATTGAAATTGTTAGATCTGTAGCCGATCTAGTTGATGTTGATATCGACGAGGATGATATTTTAATAAGTCACCGTCTCCCAAGTAAAAAACAAGGCAATGAAACTCAAGATCCTCCCATAATTGTTAAATTTGTACGAAGAGATCTACGTGAAGAGCTTTACCGAGCAAGAAAAAACTTCAAGGATAAATCAACTGGCGACCTTTGTGGCTGTGACAGATTCACTCCTAGAAAAATCTACATCGCTTAAAGTTTTACTAGTTTGAGAAAAGATCTGTTCAACAAGCGCCTAAAGAAAATCAAAGGCCCTTAGGCGAACTCGTGGATACTTGTTGCACTTTTCGAATATTTAGATTGGTCTTCCTGTGCCCTCAGCTTGTTGATATTCTCAAAGAATTCCAAATACTTCGCTCGATTTAATATTTTGAATACTCAATTTATCTAGTAAGATGAGTAATCGTCCTTTTTATTTTCCTTTTAACACCTAGTTCTTCGCTATTTTGTTGAGTTTGAAAGCGATTTCTGTGATGAATTAATTGTTCAATTAATACGAAAGACGACTTCGACTACGACTTCGATAGAGTCAACTGAGTCAAGTATAGAGTATAATTGAAAAAGATTTATTTGAAAACGCTTTCTCTGTTTTTAATTTCAAAGGCGGGCTGTGTGTTTTATTCCAGCAAACATTCGACCTACGAGCTCAAAAACTGAATATACAAGATAATCGGCCGATCGGGACGATAAAGGCATAAAGCGTTGCGTTATGCGTGTTGATTTACATTACTACTTATCTTGACCTTCAATGGTCACGGCTCCTACATTTGTTTCGGATGAAACTATTTATYTACACTGTGAACTGAGCAAATATTTTATAGAAATGCGTTTATAAATGCTATTTATTTTGCCTTCAACCAAGTCAGCAAATTAATGATTATTTATTGTAGCGAATTCTCGTTAGACCTTCGCACATTTYAACATACAATCTGAGCATTGCTTCGGCTGTTTGTAATCTTGTAATGCGTGTCGATCAATCTACTTTTTATTCAGAACGGCTTATTTAAATGACAAAACTGGCCGAACTTCCTTCAAACCTCCATTGGAATTGGTATTTTTTTCGTCTTTTGTTATTTTTTCTACGATCTACGTATACATCTACATTGATTATTTTCTTAAGAAGCTTACTTTAGTAAATACAACTGTTGATCAGTAATAATAAGACTTCTCTCGATCGAGTTTATGAGATTTTATTGCTGAATACCGCCGTGACTTTGATCTGTCCCTATGGAAAATAAAGTCCTCCAGAGCTTGAAATCAGACTCTCTTCTTGAGTTCTAATTAATTTTTTCGATAACCGGCTCGATCTACGAGTCTCAGTCTGAAATCGAAATGTTAACGTCGTACCTAATAAGCGTTTTTGTTTACTTTTTT